CCCTCCGCGCACTGGTAACACTGTCGCTGATGTGTCCGCGACTGCTTGTTCGCCAGACCCGGGAGCCTGCTTATTTCGCGGCTAACCTTCGCTCAAGGCCGTGCCACTATCCGCCACCTGTGGACACGCCAGGTAGCCAGCAACTAGGCTAACGGTTAACCCGCTTTTCCGCGAAGAGGGGTACCATCCGTGACATAATTCTCTTCCAATTCGATTGGCCATCACCAGTTGAGATCAGTTGGCCTGGAACATCTCACCAAAGCACTCGGTTTACTTTCTTTCCACACGCTTTCAGCTCCTTATTTCTAGAACTTAAAACTGACCGCCGTCGTTTCTGCGGTTTACTCGTGTATTTAAACAAGTTAATATCGTAAACGTACGGTTTTATCCTGAGCATCCCGAAAACAGCCATATTTAAGTTTAGTTCGCCTTATCCACAAACCCTATCGCTAACATTCCCGTAGAACAGGAGTTCCTGCCTCCCGTTGTTGCCGTAAAAACCACAGGGCAATCAGACGAAAATGATGTTTTCATAACCTTAAATTGTTTCGTTCACTATACCTACAAAATGTCCAATATGGCGAAGACCAATAGTCAGAATGACTCTACCGATCAGAAGAAAAACTAGAATGGTTATTTCTCGCTTGTTAATCGTCACCCAGCAGCCATACCCGACCCTAGATTTGGCAACGCCCAAGGCTCGAACCCACAATGTGTTGGTTAGAAGCCCAACGCCCTAACCACTGAGCCACCGGCTCACAGTCCTGTCGGTTGCGATCAGGTTACTTGACGGTGGTAGTGGAACACTCACCGATCGCATTCCGTTGTCTCTTTCTACTTATAATATACTGGCCGCTGAGCGGCTGCTTACGGGGTTCAAGATTGAGTCCCAAAGCAAAACAGGACGAGAGGGTTCTATAACGCGATCAGTGAACTCCAACTGCCACTTTTAAGATCAATAATTTTCTCTCACAACTTGCATAATAACTGTTAGGATGCACCTAACAGGCAGATAGCATGCAGCAAGCACCCGCGCTCACAGCAGGCTATCGATCGGCTTACACGAGGCGAACGCATACTGACCGTCAATCAAGCAATAATTTAAAATTCAAGTTGCAGCCTGCCGCTGAGTCACAAGCCAATCGTGTTGCTAGCTACGCCACGCCAGAACAGAAGCTGATTGGTTCGATGGACCTAGCTTACACTCGTTTGTTGCCCTAAATATGTTGTACCCTTTGCACTCAAAGACTTCTGCTTTTGCCCTCTTTTTGGCATGTTCTTCCTTGAGGGACTCACACGAGGCGTAATTAGGCGGTGACATCTCGGCCTTGGCAACCGTTACAACAAAAAGAAACTTCAAACATAATGTATTGCATAGTGCTGATAAGCCTGTCCTACCTTTCTGATGAAAAAAAAA